AAATCCTGTATAGTCAGGAATCTTTATCTTCTGTCTCGCTGTTCATTGATTCTATAGTCAAACTATAACCGAAATCTTAAAACCTGATAATTAAATGTTAATATTTACTATACAGTGTTTGGTTTAGACTGGTTGCTATTACATAAACAAACTTAAGATAATATGGCATTACGTAGCATTCAATTGAGTCGCAGAAGAGATTGATGTTATTATAATGTTGGTGTTGTAACGGCCTTAACGCTTCATTGTCAACATAGTTATTGTCACTTAGTACCATTTTAGTAACTACCGTAATGCACATGTTGAAAATATCCAAATTACACATCTGAATTCCAATATTAGATTGGGGTTTTTCAATATGACTTATCTGGGGGTTGAAATTCTGGTTGACTGGACCGTCTTTTAAGGGGCTTGCTGAATCTTAAGGTATTTCAACTATTCAACCTTCATGTCAGCTTGCTGATCATAAGGTAATTAAACTTCAGATGCATTACTGAATAGATAATTTCTCATTTTGTGCAGATCACTAGTCGAAAAAAAATCGATTTTATTACATGCAGCATATCTACTTTAAGATGTATTTAAAACATGAAGTATCAAAATCAGTTGATTTGAAAATTGTTTAAGTTCAAAAACGTTTGTTCCTTTTTTTTTCAGATAATATGACTTTGAATCCCTATAAGAGTAGCTTTAGATATTAATTTCAATATTTGTGATATTACAGTTTGTAAAGAGAAAGAGTCCGAAAACTCTCAGCATCAAGTATACAGTATCGGTAACTGATAGGTTTAACTGTACCTTTTTGTCCGTGTCCCTGTGTGGCTTTAGTAGGCGGGCCACTACTCCTGAAATAACCTTGTCTATCTCCTGTTGATGGTCCGTTAAAATACTGGGATAATTCTTTTGCAACCATGCACAAAAATCTAGATTTTTCACAAACAAGAAAAATACCACAGTAATTTCTGATGTAAATAATTGACAAATAGTTTTAATATCAAGCACATGCATAATTTCATAAAAGCAGGGATTTAAAAGTTTTACAGAAGAACAGTGTTTATTAGGTCTTTTATTGTATATCTCAAGTTGTAGTTACATACATAACAAATATTAAGACAATTTTACTTTCATTATATTATTTCTTTGTGAGTCAGAGAGAGAAAGAAGGACAAATTCCTACCTAGCTTAGCCTGTATAGGCTGACCGTCGATCCCAAAATGGACATGGATAAAGAGAGCAAACTTGCTGTCAACCTTCTTGTGTGTTTGTGGCACCGTAGACTCCAGCAGAGCAGCACAATGACTGGAGAACCTGTCTGGAATCAATCACCCATACAAATATTATCTTCATCTTGCCTAGCTATAACTGAGATTGAGGATGTTTCTGGAGTAACAGGTGATGCCACAACAAAGTGAATTTGGTAAACGTTTTTTGACCATACAGGCTCTGCAGTCTACCTGCGATAATTATAGGCCATCATTACCACCTGTCTTACAAGAGAACTCAGAAAAGTCAATTACAGGATCATGTAGGTTTTTCTCTCGGTACTCTTTTGGCACTCCATTTTCCTCACATATTAAGACCCCCATATATACACTACCACATGCACTTTGCTGGAATCTACAGAATTTGCATTAAATTTTTATCATAATGTGTTTAATTGTGTGCACAAAATCAACAAACATCAAATGAGCCTAACATCCATATACCTACCTTCCATTGAAGCACTAGTGGCATGAATGTTCAGACCATACATGTTCCACGGAATCTGTTCCAGAGGATTATATTGGGTACTTGTATCTTTCAACACTGGGAATACAGGGACAGCCTCTGGACCAAAAAGGTACAGCTGTGGAGAACATATAATTCATTTAAACTCACAACAGAAGACTTACAGTCAGGCATTTCATCCAAGAAAGCCTGGCACAATATCTGTAGTTACTTAAACATCTGCAACATTTGACCTTGCCAAATAACCTTGTGCAACCTTTGATCTTGACCTTGTGTAAACTTTGACCTAGGTAACCTATGACAAATGGCAAATGGTAACCTTTGACCTAAGTTAATAACATTTAAAAGTTGATCAATCCTGTATATAAGAACTCACTGAATCCCAAGGAATCTGTTTGCATGAGATTCACTTACATTTATCAGTCCTGCCGTAGCACAGGTTCCAAGTCGGCCACCTCCTCCTCTTCCTTGTACATAGTTCATATGAGCTACTACTTGTAGAGTGACAGTGTTAGGATAGGAAGAATCTCCCGTCCCCTCACACACAGATAGCTGGGTTATCTCACTACAGACAGGCACTACAAATCGACTGGTACAAACATACGATGTGTTTCTGAAATAATAAGATAAGTTTATTTCTGGTACAGGTTCATTTCTTATCCTCTACGTCGGATTCCAAATAATACATATATATATACATAATAAATCACAAAGTTATAATGTTCATATGTTGCCACATCATTTTATTGATGAATTTCAGATTTATAATTATACAAAAGTAGGGTACACGTAGGTTGTTCCATATATGCAGTGAAATAAGTTTTGTCGGAGGCTGGTCCTTGCCCATATATATATCAAATATATTTTTTGTAATTTGAAAGGTTACACAATTTACACAGCAGATCTTGAAAAGCCACCGACTTACCCATGCCTCCTTTATGTAAACTTTTAGTGTAATAGACATAGCTAGATATTACCATTTCTCCCACATTAACCACTACTGTAGGTTTTCTCACTCCCGATTCATTGGATAAACCTGCCAGGAGTAATTGGTAAACAGTTTTGGTTACCCACTAGTGGGTAACAATAGAGGGTTACACCCTGGACCAACTTTCATTGGTCAATATTCTAATTAAGTAGCAATACATTTCGACATCATCTTTCATTGTGACATCACAGTTCATGGCAATTGTTTCCTCGATCGGAAACAGGAATTATGCAATCCCAAAAGTAACATAATTATGATTTTCAGGATATAATATCTGAAAGTTTCAAGAGAAAATAAGATCCCCAAACTTGTGATGGTTGAGTACCATGTTTATCTAGCTCTCTTTAGTTAATTTCAAACTTTCAAACACACTCAGTTATACCTTGTGTCTTTTAAACAATTTGAAAATTAATTAACTTGAGATAGATATATAAACATGACCACCAATCATCACTCATTGGGAACTTCTACTTATACCTGTCTATGTGGGATGACATTTGTGCAATAGAAAAAACTAATATTGCAACAGAGAAAGCAGTAACATGCACATGAACAGCTTCACATCACACTGTATTACATGTTGGTATACCTATAATGTTTTAGAGAATTGGTAGACAAATGTTGAAATCAATATCCAGATACATAAAAGATAACAGGGATTTTTTCCTACAGTATAAATATAAAAATAAATTTCAACAAAAAAACAAATGCACAGCTTTACACCATGATGTACTGACACCTAAATGTTAAAAAAACCCACCAGTTCATATTAATGCATTGCCAGTTTAGCCAGACAATACATGCACATCTATGAATATATAGAGAGTTAATGTGGTAGGGGTTATTATTACTATAATATTACATCATGTTGTATTGATACAATTTTTTTACTGAAATCAGCTCATAAATAAAGAAGTGCATAACATATAACTAGTAAAGGGACCTAACTCCACTAACATGTGTTGTAACAGAGAAACAGTTACACTTACACAGCTTCATACCATGTTGTATTAAAAAATAAAAATATATATATATATATTCTATTTCCTATATATGGCAAAATTCAAAACTGGACAATTCTTCTGTACACTGATGTCAGAATTTTTAAAGTATTTCTCACATTCTTGCGATTCTCACAAAATACTTTACCTCAGAAAGTAGGAAGCATCTCCACATATTTCAAGAGGACTTCCAGACAAATTCATTGATGTGCAACTGAAAAGAAATAATTTGGTTATAATCCAATTTTACTTTTGTATTAATTATAAAATCACAGCAACCTTCTTTTAATAGACATATCATCAACTATCAGTCAGATTATATAACAATGTACCTGCTTTCTTGCTTGTATCCCTGGTACTTACAAATTTAACTGCAAAATTAGTTTTTATATGGACATAACTTCAAAAAAGATCAACTACAATTTTGATGAATAAGATATCTGAAATGTACATGATCAACACTCGAATTAGAACCAGCTAGGTTAATTGTTGAAAAATTATACATGCGACACATTTTTTTTGTCCTGGAATTTCTCTCTTCTATACAGTAGATCAAGCAGCAAAAACAAGTTTTTTCTGGCTGAGAGTAACTTAATTCCCCTGTCAAATTTTTCATAAGCCTTGTGGCTGATACGTTGGACACTCATGCTTTCACAATTGCTGTATGGTGCCATTGGTAAAGTGTATGCTTTGCTGTGTAAAGGTTCCAAGTTTGAACTTGTAGTTTTCGTCTTTTTTATTTTTATTACCATTTACAATTTTTGTCAAATGCATGGTATCATGTAAGGTACAATGTAAGGTCTTAAAAAATATTTCACAATAGTAACAAATGTAATAATATAGTTTACTAATTCAGAATTCTTCCAAACAAGAGGAAATATATATTTGAAACACAATCAAACGTTATTGAAAATATATTTTTTAATTTATTTTTTACAATCTGAGGATAATTTGATATCACTCTTTTACCCTTTAAACAATTTTAAGTTCCAAACACATGGAAGTGATTATAAAAAAGTGTGAAATAAAGTAGTCATTACAAACCTAAAGTCTGATTCACACAAATTCTCATAGATTTTCATGTTGAACTCCAACTGTATCTGAAATCAGAAAAAGAACTGTTAAAGCAAACAACCTTGTGATTTTGTGTTTGTAAACAATGCTTAAACAATATGCTTTTTTTTT